ACAGCAGAAGCTGAACTTGACATACAGAATGAAATCCAGCTTAAGAGAGAGAGAAGTTAATGACCTGAGAGTCATACCATATGCCTTCAAACCCTCTCAACAAAGTCAGAGGGCAGCCAACATAGCTTGAAGGGAACTCTTTCGTTTACACTCCACAATTGCGTGTAGGAGACCCGAAGTTTTCGTCCCTCTGTACAAGGCCATAGTCAGGCCACACTTGAAATATTGTGTTCAGGCATGGGCATCCTACTTTCGGAAAGACAGGAAACGTCTAGAAAGGATGCAACGCCTGGCTACAAGGATGATGGTGGGATAAAGAGGTAAGAGCTACGAGCAGAGGCTCAAGGACCTTAACCTGTTCTCTCTGGCAAGAAAGAGAGTCAAGGGAGATCTCATATAAGTATTTAAGACCATCAACGGTCTCTCTGGACTCAAGTTTGAGGGCATGTTCCAATTCATCCCTCCAGGTGGCACTAGGGGACATAGTTTAACGCAGTCTTGTAAGGCTGGACATTTGATCAAGTTCTTTACAAGTCGCGTGATACCTTACTGGAATATTCTACCCGAAGATGTGGTAAGTTGCTCGAACGTTATAGGCTTCAAGAGGGCCTTTAGATGACTGTTGGTCTTCTACCTTCCCTGAAACAGTTTGATGGTAAGTACCTATTAGTTCTGAGCGTCATTACCTAGGAGGTTATACTGCACATTACTTTCTGCCTTTCAGAAAATACCTATTGACTCGCAGTTTTGTAAGTCACAGGAACAGCCAACAACACATTAATCTGGACGCAAGATTGGCCTGGGCCACACATCGTCCTGTGCAAACTGAACTGAACTGAACTGGTAACAGGGCTAAATTGATCAATCACGTAAATATCTGTATGCGGTTTTTGAAGCTACTCCTTTCTGCCGAGAACCACGAACTGGACACTTGATTGGCCTGAGCCATATTCGTCCCGGACAAGCTTTCTGTGTATGCAGGCTTTCTCCGTCAGTTATCACCAACTAACGCGACATACGGCGATTCCTGGTGTAAGTTCCCGAGGAAAGATCTCAGTAGTTTGCAGCATCGGTCACCGGAAGCGCTGCTCAGCGTACCATATCCACTCCCAGGTTCGGCTCAACTACACCAACACTATCACCCTCAGGACGCAGACGTAACGAAGAAGGCCCAGAGCCCACGCCAGTGGGACGGATGACAATGGTCACAGCTAATCGTGAGGACAGGCCGGACGATGTTGTGCTTTCTCGGTTGGAGACCGGTAATGAATTGTGGGCTACGGTGGCTCGAACGGCCAGTGTTGACGTCATTCCCTCTGCGGCGCCTCAGCGACTGAGGGCCAAGAGTATGCCAGCGACAAAAAACGAAGAGGGCTCTCGGGCAGTTTGCCCGAGTGCACACTAGACTCTAGTGACACCAAGGCTGGAAAATGGGCTTGGGGTGGGGAGTTATCAGCATTCTACACAAACGCTTGCGGCCTAGGCAACAAGTGAAGATAATTAAGTCCTGTAACCGTAGGATCAGACTGTATTGTGATTACCGAGACATAGTTACACGAGGCCATCACAAAGGAGAGCCTGCAACTCACTGGGTTCTGTGCGTACAGGTTGGACAGGGAAGTTGGTAGGGGTGGAGGTGGCATATTGCTCCTTGTTTCGGATACCCTAGATCAGGCCGGGGGTAATCACATGACCACGCCGAATATCCAGGCGTGCTCATGCACCATTCAATCCCCGAACTGCATTGCGACAGTAGTAGGTGCCTACAGAGCACCACTCTCAGATGAGGAGGAGGATGGCCAACTGTGTGACTATCTGGCCAGGGTAAGCAACCATGCGGAGCGGTTGGTCATCATCGGTGACTTCAACTCTCCGGATGTAGACTGGGAAAGCCTGTGGCTCCCTCACT